TCTTTGTCAATGAATACTTTTGTCACCAATGAGTGTTTTTTGCTTGTCATTTTTACTTTAGAACAAAACCCTTATTTATTCATCTAAAACATTAAAAAAATTATTCCTCTCTCATACATTACATGACTCCAGCTTCTTACTACTCCACTCCTCCAAGTCTACCACCTATACCTCCCCTTTCTCCCAGATCTGCTCCTCCTGGATTTTCCTTCAGAAAAAAGCAGGTCTTGCAGGGCTATCAACTGACCATGGCATAACAAGATACAATAAGACTGGACACAAACCCTCATATCAAAGCTGGATGAGGTCACTCAGTAGAAGGAAAAGGATCCCAAGAGCAGGCAAAAGAGTCAGAGACACCCCCACTTCCACTGTTAGGAGCCCCACAGTAACATCAATTTAACAACCATTACATATATGCAGAGGACCTAGCTTATACCCATATGGTCTCTGTGATTGTGGCTCAGTCTCTGTGAGCCCCCATGAATATTGATTAGTAGATTCTGTGGACCATGTTCTTGTGTCTAAAACATTTTTTATCCAATACATTCTTATTCAATGGATTGTTTTAAACTAGAACATATTTGATAAGTTATTCAAGAAATACATTAAAGTAATTTCAAACTGTTACTATAGGATGAAAACATTGCCAGTATATGTGATTGTGGTGGCTTGAAAGAAAATGTCCCCTAAAAGGAGTAGCCCTCTTAGGAGGTGTGGCTTTGTTCGAGTAGGTATGGCATTGTTGGATGGAGTGTGTCACTGTGGGGTGGGCTTGGAAGTGTCCTATGTTCAAGTTATGCCTAGTTCAGTTCGCTTCATGTTGTCTGCAGGTCAAGATGTAGTATTCTCAGGTCCTTCTCCAGCACCATGTCTGCCTGCATACTACCATGTCCTGCCATGATGATACTGGACCAAACCTCTGAATTGTAAGCTACCCTAATGAAATGATTTTCTTTATAAGATTTGCCATGGTCATGGTGTCTCTTCACAGAAATGGAAATTCTTACTAAGACAGAAGTTGGCACCAGGGACTGGGATGTTGTTGTGATAGGCTGAACCATGTTTTTCTTTGAAGGAATATGGACATTGCTACTGTGGATTAGAAAAGCAGTTGAATGCTTTAGGTGCTCCTTAATGGGCCATACTAGTAGAAGCATGGATAAGAGCTTCTGAGTGTGATTTGATGACCCATGGGGGCCTGGATCAAGAGGTTTCAGAGGAGAAGAATTTTAACATGTTGCCCAAGATGGTTCTTGTGATATTTTGGTGAATAATGTGGCTGCATTTTGCCCTTGTCCCAAAAGTCTGCTGAAGGCTAAAGTAAAGAGTTTTAGATTATTGCATTGGCTAACAGTCAATATAGCCCAGTATAGACTTTGTTGTGTGGTTATTAGTATTGACTCTAATGAAGATATATAAAGAAAAGAATCAAACTGAACAATTAAAATTACAAAATGTACAATTGGAGGAGAAAAGGAGCACCAGAAAGTGAAATGGAGCTAAGTCCTGTGTTCAAGGAGATAAACAGATCAATAAATAGAATAAAAGAAGTGGTAACCTCAGGGCAGGACCCCACCCAGCTAAGTTTCTAACCTGTGAAAAGGAATTAAAGAAAAGCTTAGAGAGGGGAGTGGCAGTGCATGCCTTTATCCCAGACTCAGCGTGAAGAGGATGACTGACCTCTGAGTTTGAGGCCTGCCTGGTCTACAGAACAAGTTCCAGAACAGCCAAGCTTAGGCAGTGAAACAAAGCATCAAAAACAGAATGCTGGCAAAGATGTAATTGAACAAGGGAGCCAAGTTCCAGCCCCAGCAAGCAGCAGAACCTGGCAGCTTTGGCCACATGGCTCTGGCTTTCGAGTTAAGGAGTGACTAAGGAAAGCTACTGAGGCCAGGCATGAGTCAAAAAAAGTCCCTGAATGGAAGCCTAGAGAGGCTATTTCATGAAGCTGTGAAGGTGACCCTGGATGGCTTTGGAGACTCCAAGTTGTTGGAGATGCTAGAACCACGGGATACCTGCTGAGGAGAGCTGCTAACAGGGAGTGGAACTAGCCCAAGAGAGAGAAGTGTGTTGCAGTCAACAAAGCTGAAAAGAGGTGGAGATCTGAAGAGCATTTTGACATCAGACATGGAGATGCAGAGTTTGGAATTTGCCCAGCTCATTTTTGGTCTTGCTTTGGTTCAGTATTTCCTCACTATGCTCTGTTTTAGAATGGTATATCCTATGCCATTATATGTTGGAAGCATGTGATCTGCTTTTTTTTTTTAATTTATTTTAATTTATTTTGCAATACAATTCAGTTCTACATATCGGTCACGGATTCCCTTGTTCTCCCCCCTCCCATCCCCCTCACCTTCCCCCCAACGCCCCCCCCCCCCCATTCCCATCTCCTCCAGGGCAAAGCCTTCCCCACAGACTGAGGTCAACCTGGTAGACTCAGTCCAGGTAGGTCTAGTCCCCTCCTCCCAGGCCGAGCCAAACAATCCTGCATAGGCCCCATGGAAACAACCCAGATGCCCTTCAACTGAAGAATGGATAAACAAAATGTGGTACATATACACAATGGAATACTACTCAGCAGAAAAAAACAATGGCATCATGAGGTTTGCAGACAAATGGATGGATCTAGAAAAAATCATCCTGAGTGAGGTAACCCAGACTCAGAAAGACAAACATGGTATGTACTCACTCATAGCAGGATACTAGACATGAAACAAGGATGAATTGTCTGCTACTCACATCACCAGGGAGGCTACCCGGAAAACAGGACCCCAAGAAAGACACAGGGATCGCCCAATGACAGAGAAATGGAATGAGATCTACATGAACAGCCTGGACATGAGTGGGGGTAATGAAAGGCGAGGGTCGAGGGAAAGAGAGCTTGGGGGAGCGGGAGATCCCAGCTGGATCAACAACAGAGAGGGAGAACAAGGAATAGGAGACCATGGTAAATGAAGACCACATGAGAACAGGAAGAAGCAAAGTGCTAGAGAGGCCCACAGAAATCCACAAAGATACCCACACAACAGACTGCCGGCAATGGTCGAGAGACAGCCCGAACTGACCTACTCTGGTGATGGGATGGCCAAACACCCTAATTGTTGTGCTAGAAACCTCATCCAACTACTGAGGGATCTGGATGCAGAGATCCATGACTAGGCCCTGGGTGGATCTCTGGGAGTCCAATTAACGAGAATGAGGAGGGTTTATATGAGTGAGAATTGTTGAGACCAAGGTTGGATAAAGCACAGGGACAAATAGCCAAATGAATGGAAACACATGAACTATGAACCAATGGCTGAGGGGTCCACACTGGATCAGGCCCTCCGAATGGGTGAGACAGTTGATTGGCTTGATCTGTTTGGGAGGCATCCAGGCAGTGGGACCAGATCTTGTGCTCATTGCATGTGATCTGCTTTTTTATTTTTATTTTATAGGGGATTACAGTTAGAAGATTGCATGAATCTCAGAAGAGACTTTGAACTTTGGTCTTTTAAATAAATTTGAGACTGTTATAGACTATGGGGACTTTTAAAGTTGTACTAATGCATTTGTATTTAATATGGCTACAGGTCTTTGGGTACCAGGGAGTGAAATGTGGTGACTTGAAAGAAAATGTCCCCAAAAGGAGTGGCCCTATTAGAAGGTGTGGCTTTGTTGGGGTAGGTATGGCCTTTTTGGATAAAGTGTGTCACTGTGGGGTGGGCTTTGAAATCTCCTATGTTCAAGCTATGACTACTTCAGTTCACTTACTGTTGCCTATAGATCAAAATGTAGTATTCTCAGCACCTACTCCAGGACCATGTCTGCCTGCATACCACCATGCTCCACCATAATAGTGGACTGAACCTGTGAACTGTAAGCCATCCTCTGAACTGTTTTCCTTTATAAGAGTTTCTGTAGTCATGGTGTCTTTTCACAGCAATAAAAACCCTGATTAAGACAGTGATTAACTTACCACAAAACGTCACGGTTAGATTTATAAATCTTAATCTGTTTTGATAAGATGTGGCCCTAGAAGGCTGAAAATCACATAAATGCTACATGTCCTTTGTGGAGTCATTTCTAACTTCTCTTGGACTCTTTTTTACAAATTTATTTTATTTATTTATTTTCATTTTTTATTAATAATTTTCTATTCACTTTATATACCAAACACAGATCCCACCTCTTCCCTCTTCCCACCCCCCAGCCTTCCCTCCCAAGTCACCCCTCATCCCCACAATTTCCAAATCAAGGTCTCCCATAGGGAGTCAGCAGAGCCTGGCACACTCAGCTGAGGTAGGTCCAAGCCCCTCCCCACTGCACCAAGGCTGTTCAAGGTGTCGTACCAAAAAGCCTGCCCATGCACCGGGGTCAGATCCCAATCCCCCTGCCTGGGTGTCCCCTAAACAGTTTGAGCTAAACATCTGTCTCCTATATCCAGAGGGCTGGATCTAGTCCTATGGGGGCTCCATAGCTATTAGTCCACAGTTCATGGGTTTCCACTAGTGTGGCTGGTCATCTCTGCACGTTTTCCCATCATGATCTTGATGTCCCCTGCCCACAGAATCCCTCCTCTCTCTCATTGATTGGATTCCGGGAGCTCAGCCTGGCTCCTGGGCATGGACCTCTGCATCTGCTTCCATCAGTCACTGGATAAAGGCTCTATGATGACAGTTAGGGTATACTCTTGGACTCTTTAGGCTTATACAAGAAAAGAAAAAATAAGTAAAATTAAATTTCTTGAGTTTAAATTATCTGATAATAAATTTTGAGAGAACCTTGAATGTATACCTTTTTCACATTTAGTCTTTTTCACTTATAGCCTCATTTATATATAGCTCAAATATTTGTTGACCAACTGTTGTGTGATATTTCTGGAAAGATGTAAATTTAACATCTACTCCTAACTAGTGACATTTCCACATTTCAAAGAATGATTCATTAAGATCATCTTTATGAACAGAAATACATTTATTAGAGATTACTCATAGAGCAATAGAAGACCACAGACATTTGCATGGACCCTTCCGCTGAAGTTGCCCCAACCTCTCTCACCAAGCTGTCTGCCCCAGAATCGAGGGAAACATTTATTCCCTGTGCCACCTAGTGTGCAAGTAGCAGAGGGGACCCCAGGCTCAGACTGCTAGAGTTTGGTGTTTATGTAAACTCTGCCCTTGCCCTTATAAGGGGTTCTGTTGGTTTGAGCTGACATTGTCCATCTTGCGAAGGTTCGAGTGTTTTCCTGCAGTCTGACATGTTGGAAAGCCCCATTTGGGCTTGTTGTAAGATGGAGGTGAAAAAATTCAGAGGTCTGGGCTCATTCACTAGCTGATACACAGGCCAGACCAATCATGGCTGCCACACCTTGAAGGAAGCACTGTCCAGGTAACATGTCCTCCAGAGGAGCCATGTTGAAGACTCGTTTATGGAGACTGTGTCAGTTTGACAGACACAGAGTCTGTTCTGTCATGGCTTTTTTCCTTAGAGCATTCTAACTGCATCAGTAAGGAGGCATGGGTTGCCTAGAAATTTATATTTAGCTATTGATATTTTAGCATTTTCACTTATTTACAAATAACCCCTGTGTTTTCATCTGTCATACACATTTAAGAACCCTGACTTCAGGCTGGGTGTAGTGGCACAGGTTTTTCATTCCAGCACTTGGGAGGGAGAGACAGGCAGATCTCTTGAGTTCGAGGTCAGCCTGGTCTACAGAGTGATTTCTCAGAAAGACAGAGCTATACAGAGAAACCCTGTCTTGAAAAACAAGCAAACATACAAATAAAACCTTAACTTCACTTGTAATTACCCAATTTGTTTAGTTTAAAGTTATTTCTAAACTCCTGATGAAATAAATATAGGTTAAAACTTGGAATTATCTCTTGTCAAATAAAACCCTGGAGGATTCTGGGTAAGAAGTCTGGGGAGAAGCTGCCTGCCTGTAATGCAGTAAAGGGCAGAGGTTAGAATAAGGAAAATACTGTATTCCAAGAAAGAAAGAGAGGAAGAGGTCCATAGATTCACACAGGCAGAGCTAGCACACCTGCAGAGCCCAGAGGAAAAGATGGGACACACTGAGAAGCCAGGCTAATAGCTCTGGCCATGGGTCTGGCTGGGAGGGGAGCAGAAGCTTGATCCAGAAGGAAACTGGGTGGCCTGGGGATAGAGACAGGCAGGCCTACCCTTGTGGCAAACACACAGCCTTACTAAGTCTCAAGTCCTACTCTGGTAGATAGGTGAGCAGTGGAGAGGAATCCCATTTTGTTATTGTTTTATAAAAATTAAAAGAATTATTTGTGTGTTTGTGTGTGCCTACTTCTGTACATGTTTTTGTGTATGTGTATTTGAGTGTGCACCTGTGTGTGGGTGCCATGAATTCCTCCACATGGAGTTGGTGTTACAGGTGTGAGCTGCCTGATGTGGGTTCTGGGAGTAGAACTCCGATCTTCTACAGGAGCAGCTCTTAGCCACCGAGCCTTCTGGTCCCCACCTTTTTACCATTGTACATGAGTTTCTCAAGCTGTGAATCCCACCTCCATACGGGATGACTTAACTAAATGTGGGATTGGGAAATATTGACAAGAACAACAGGTTTGTGCACATGCAATGGCCAAGGTTAATTCAATGTGCACTGAGTCTGTGGTGTTTCTGACAGCATGAGTCATGTTACATCATGTGACTTCCCCATACCTGTAGTTCTGAGCACACAACATGAATACTAGTACTGCTTTAGCCTACACACCACACAATGCCTATGATGCTCCTGAAACACCTTGGCTCAGAGTCTAAGCTATTGTTGGCTGGGATTACAGCATTTTCCCTGTATATAGGAGATTTTCTATGCTCAGAGAAACATGATACCTTAATTACGGAATGTAAAAATTTAAATATATTCCCATTTTTATTCTCTAGCATGTAACAATTGGATTAGCATATCTTTGCATTGTATTATATGAGAACATTTGGTTTTACAAGTTTGTGTTTTGAGTTGTTGACTTGAGTTACATAAAGAGATGCTAAGTGAATTTTGCCTTGGGATTAGGACAGGATTTCCACCAGCTTCTGGAATGTGCACTGCACATCTGTGTAAAGCATGAGAGATGCAAAATATCCACCAACTCTGAGAGACACTGAAGATTCCCAACATCTTATAGCATCAAATATTCAATCAAGGTTTAATTCCTTATGCAAAATAAACAAATACATGCTTTTCATTAGTGTGAAAATTTGCTGTCATTTTTAACAAATGGTAAAATTATATTACAACAAAGCCTTGTTTATAATAAATTTCTTTAAGATTTATTTTTAGTAAAAATGTTTGATTTATATACTTATATATCTACATATCCAGAGTCACATAAAAATTATTTGGAAAAAGGTTTTGAGGGTAGGAAATGTTTGAGAAGACCCCCTTCCTTTCCTATTCATTAGATATTCACTTTCCAGGGAAAGTACCATCTCATCATCTCCATTTCCATACTCTCCAGTCCTGCTTGTATTATGAGCAGGCTGAACAAGACTTGAATAGATTGCTGGCTCCATTGGAAGTTTCCTGAGATGCTCATCCCACATGAACATCTGGCTGGGGAAGGTCAAGAGGGAACATCTGGTTCCCTAAGAGGTGTCCTGGAAACTCTGCCATCAGAAAGGCCACTGAGAAGACCACTGGTTTATAGATTTAGTAGCCAAAGGAAGTTAGGCAGAGTCAGGAATCATTTGAGTGCTCACCCCTCAGCCACTAAGATGTCAGGATCTCACAGAGAAACTTCTTGACGTCTCATAGAGGTCCATGATCAGGTGAGGATGTGTCTCCTTCAGAGCTTGATAGACTTGGTCTTTACTGTCCCAGCTCCAGGACCTACTGAGGCTGAAGAGCTTCCTCATCTTGTTTTGGTTGGTGGCCTCAGCCCGCACCACCTCATACTCCTCTTCACTCAGCACTAGACTATGCAACTTGTCCAAGAGAGAGTCCACTGATGTCACTCGGGCCACCAGCTGCTCTCGATGCTGGTCCAGGAAGTGTGGCAAGGCAGCAGCATCTAGGGCTGAAGATGAGACTGGTACTGAGAGAAGAAAGGCTCCTCCATGGGTCCTCCCACTGGCTGCCCACTTCTTGCTATTTTCATGTATGCCATCTGCACCCCTGACTCTGTCCTTCCTCTGGAAGGTCACTTGAAAAAAAGTATCTGTACCCTTCCTAGGCCAGTTATTAGCCTGACACTCTGCCTAGCCAGGAGGAGGAGTTCATGGAGGGGTGTTCAGGTTGGGAGTGGGTGGAATTATTTCAACATGGGAAGCAGCAAGGGGCATAAGAGGAACTCTACCCTGGGAATGCACTTCTCCTACCTGTCCTGGTGAGGTTTGCAAAGTGTGGTTCCCTCCTTCTTACTGCCCTTCTCTCAAGGATTAGATGATCTACCAGTAGATTACTACTGGATTTTCTGGCCCTGTATAGTTGTTAATTACCTTTGTGTGTTGCAGGGATCATGGGCGGTGTAGGTCTGAGGTCCCCTGGAAGAAAGGAGAGATGATGCATCTGTAATGATACCTGTCACCAACACTCAGTGCACTCTGTGAAACTCCCAGTCATGCCTGGGAGTTTGAGAATGAACTATAGATTCTTTATAATCTGGAATGTGAACATTTCCTTACTCACACAAGGAATCTATGCATGAGAACTATCATCATAGAGACAGATGACATGTGAATGGGAAATAGACCTTTTTCCCTTATGACCACAGTCTCAAATTTATCCTAGACTGAATTCCTCATGGAGAACTCACCAAGTCCCTTGCTGGCTTAAATCATTTGACATTCAATCTTGGATAGAAAACTATTTTTTTGTCTATGTTTGACTTTGTACAGTCACATGCCACAAACATATGTTTTTGATTTTATTGCAGAATCAAGATAAAGCAAGACTGAGCGAATGGGAATAGTGAGTGAATTTTAGCACCAAGTGGGGGAGGCTAATACATTTCATCTCATGAATAAGCCCCAGGGATTTGAAAAGACCCTAAATTTCACCGTGCTCTAACAGCTTAGAGAAGTGAGCCCAAGGACCCAGTTTGTAGTATCAGAAGCCCTGGTTCCATTTGTATGAAAAAGGATGATATTTTGTACACTCCATGCTAGCTGGACCTTCTTGGTTTTTCCTGACTTGCAGATTAACAGGAGCATCTAATGAAGAATGTGATTGAGTGACATGGATTTAAAAACCAAAATGTAAGATTGGGGATTCAAGAGGGACATGACTATAATCTTGCAGTCTTTGAATTCTTTCCCACATGGAAGGGGATAAATCTTAATGAATCCCAAAGAACAGAATTAACAAAATCATGAGGAAGATGTTGGCTTAATAAAGAAAAATAGCAACATTGCTCCCATCAGGTAAGGATCACATTGTGAGATGGTGATGAACAGCATTTAACCTTTCCAGTCACCCTACCAGTTATTCATTCTGATCTCCAGTTTACAGGTAAGGAAGATCAGACTCAAATAAGTTATGCCATTTTCCAAGAGATTCAAACCATGACCTGATGCTGGGGCAGGTCAGTTCTCCACCTGTGGGTCACTCAGGTCAAGGCTGAGCAAAGGCAGTTCTTTGACCACATGTGAAGCCTGTTTCTAGCAGCTCAGGAGCAGGAACCACTGTTTGACAGCTGTCAAGGGCTGGGCATCCCCAGAGATACTGATTAGGGGGGTTTGGTTTTGGCATTGTGGGTGTTAGGCTAAGATTGTATTGTTACTTCACCAAAAAAAATGTCACTATTTGATTGTCTCTTGTCCATGTCAGCTTGAAAAAAAAGAATGAATTATAATAGCCAACAAATAAATAAAAATACAAAATTTTGGGATAGAAAAACCTAACCATGGAAATGAAAACACTTTATAAGAAGAACTTTAATATATATGTGTGTGTATGTATATATATATATATATATATATATGGAAGAAATTGAAGAAGGCCTTTGAAGATGAAAAGACATTCCTCCCCCCATGCTCATTATTTGGAAGAATAAATATTGTGAAAATAGCCACCCAATTAAAAGCACACTATATAATCAATGCAGTCCCAATCAATATGCCAGGGACATTCTTCATAGACAGTGTGGGAAAAAATGCTGAAACACACATGGAACCACTAGAGACATATGATGTCCAAGGTAATCCTGAGCAAAAATAATTTTGTGGAAAGCTTCATCACACCTGATTTCAAACCAATGCTGCAGCCATAGTAGTAAAAACAGCATATTATTCGTATAAAGAGATGTGAAGATCAATAAAATAGAATAGAAATCTGGGTAAAAGTCCACACAGCCATAGCTACCTGGCCCTTGACCAAGAACTCAAAATATACTTTGGAGAAAAGACAGACAGTTAAACAAATGGTGGTGGAAAACCTAGATAACACTGCATGAAAGAATTAAACTAGATGCCTGTATCTCACCTTTACAAAACAAACTCTTATGATTCCCATATCATCCCTTGAGAATGTCCAACAACAAGGATACAGATGATAATGAACGTTTGAGTATATGTGGGGACAGAGTAACACTTATACACTGTCTGTGGGAGTGCAACCTATTGTAGCCACTGTGGTAATCACTCTGGAGGCATCATAAGAACTAGAAATAGAACTACCATATAAACCAATCCTACCACTCCTGGAATGTGCTCAAAGGAATACATATTCTACTATGGAAACATTTGTACAAACATGCTCAGTGAAGTTCTGTTCACAATAGCTAGGAAATGCAATCAGCCTAGATGTCTATCAATAGTTAATTAGATAATGACTGTTTGCCGCATGTATACCATGAATTATTTTCAGGTGTGAAGAAAATGGCATTATGAAAAGTAAGTGTAGACAATAGGAAATATATAGAGGAAGATAATCCAGGCCCCAAAGGAAAGTATCACATCTCTCACATTCAGTTTCTGTCCTGAAGTCTTTAGTTCTGTGGGTTTAACTTGGTGTACCCCTGGAAACCAGAAAACTAGAAGTGGGCAGGGCCTTAGGGAGGAAGGAAGGACAGTAGTGTGTTGGTAAAATGACAGTAGAGAGGGAGTACTGGGGGCAGAAATGTTCAAACAGCAAGAGGGTTGGGGGATGGAGGAGATAAGGGGGTGGGTGGGATGGGTTACTGGAAATGCACACAGTATTTAAAAGTCACAATGAAACCTATTATTTGTAACCCAATACAAACATCATAAAAGAGCTCCAATACAAGACACCCTTTGAGGATTGAAACTGGAGGTCTTAGAAGTAATGAGTTTCAAAAACAAAACACAGTTCCAACAGTGGGATATCTCCATAGGAGCTCTTGGGCAGGGAGGCCCTTGAGGTTCCCTAGATAATACAGTTGCATTCATTCTTCTTGGCTCCCCATCAGAACTAGTGGATAAGACCTTATTGCTGAAGATACCACACATCTTGGATATGTGATATAGAGAATTAAAGTTGGAACTGAGTTGGAAGCTTTTATAGAGTCAGATGCTGTTTTTCAGGCTGGTGAGGAAGAAAAGGCATCAACAGCCATCTTGCCAGGCCAGATGGTCCCATTGCTGCAACAGTGGCACAACTGTGGTGGGAGCAACCAGTAGCTCCCTGATTACACTTTAGGCCCATCCACAAATAGAATCCTCCTCTAGCATTTTAAACTGATAAAAGGAACAAATCCAGGTTTTTGGATATCATAGGCCCTTGAGAGAAGCTACTATCGCTGCCTAAATAAATGGACACAGTGCCAATGCTCTTCTAAATATCTATGTTTATACCACAGACAAAGTCTACTTTCAGCCTTCTTCAGGAGAGCCACTCACTGCTGTGAATGGAGGTGAATACACATCCCTATTTCTTTACAGGATACTGAGAATAAGGGATGGTTGAATACTCATCCCTATAAGTAGATATTTTTATCACTCTCTTGAGCCTCTAAGAAGAGAAATTGGAAAGACTGGTGGGACAGAATCGCCTGCATCTACTGTCTCTGGACCCACATAAGTAGGGTCTGCCCATCAGTCAGCTGGACATGTGAAGCAGCTTACAGGGACAGTACCACTTACTGCTGAAATATTGGCAAATAATAGATTGTGGAGAAGGGGATGTATACAAATCCATCTGTACCCACGGCAAACTCACTCGGTTCTACTGAGTAGTTCAAAACACAAAGTAGTTCAAAGTACACAGATAGTCCCAGGTAAACTCTGTGAGACACAAAGCAAAACTTTATGAATATGGAAAAGAAATTTGTATTAAAGAAGAGAGACTGGCAAGAACAGGAGGGAGATAAGAAGGTGTGTTTAGGATGGAGTTACTAGAAAGTATTATATGAATATATAAAATTGTTAAAAATGTATTTAAAAATTATGTATGGATTTAAGATTGAATATCTCATGATAACAAAAATGCCTTCATTTTAACTGTTCACATTTAAATGTGAACTGGTGCCAGATCTTTTGTACATCTCAAAATCTGTCATTTCTAGGACACTGGGGGCAGAAATCAGGATACAGGAGTGAGAAAATGGTGCTTAGGATATGCGTTGTTATAGATGCAGTATGTTCCCTGATAAATGATCATGGGTTGAAGGATTAGTCCTGCAGCAATATTCAGACGTGATTTGCCATGAGGACTGTGATTTTTTGTTTGTTTGTTTTCGAGACAAGGTTTCTTTGTGTAGATTTGGAGCCTGTCCTGGATCTTGCTCTGTAGACCAGTCTGGCCTCAATCTCAGAGATCCGCCTGGCTCTGCCTCCCAAGTGCTGGGATTAAAGGCATGCGGTTTTATGAATGAACTCATACGCTAGTGCACTCATAATTGCATGAGTACTGAGAACAGTATTGGAAACTATAAGAGTGTACAGTTGGAGGAATTGGGTCACTGGAGGTTTGTCCTGGAAGAGTATATCTTGCATAAGCTTCCTTCCTCTTCCTTCTCCTCCTTCTCTCTTCTCCCTGCTCCTCTTCTCTCCTGGTTCTTCTCCATTTCCTCCACCTCTCCTCTGCCCCTCCTCCTCTTCTCTTCACCTTTTCCTGCTCCTCTTCTCCTTGCTCTCACTCTAACTCTAACCACATATTTTGGATCTAACAAAAGCAACATAACTACTCTGGCTATTTCATGACACCAAGAATTAATCACAACACACCTCTCCCCATTCATTGCCTTTCTTCAGTCTTTGAGATATCTGGACCTAAACTAGTTTTACCTGGTTTCAGATAGGCTTCCCAAATGAGATTCTTATGCTTCTTGTCTTTGATTTGGAGCTTAATCCCTGAACTCATGTGACCAACATAGATCTCAGAGAAGAGCTGGGATTCCCCAGGGCTCCTGTAGCACAGCTCCAGTTCCTGGAGAGAGAGAGAGAGAGAGAGAGAGAGACAGAGAGAGAGAGAGAGAGAGAGAGAGAGAGAGAGAGAGAGAGAGAGAGAGAGAGAGAGAGAGAGAATGTGTGAGAAGCCTCTACTCATGTGAACAAGGGCTTTCCATACACCCACACACTTTCTGATCTTGCATACCACATTAGACACTAGCTATCTTTTGCACTGAGATAAGCCATAGCCTTTGAATGCACATCTTTAATCAGAAGATTGGAACATTGTGGAAGAGGACATAGAAAGAATGTAGCAACAGAAGATATGCAAAATGCTTGTGGACCCAGCTGGGATTCCCATCATGCTGTTTCTTTACTCATCACTCTGAAAAAAAAGTGAAAGGAAGCAACTTGTGGAGGGGTTTATGTTGTTCAGTTTCATACATGGAAGCTGGGGCTCCATTCTTTGTGCAGGAGATTGAGGCACAGCATGTTATATCCCATAGGATCATCAAGTCTGAGGTGGGGAACAGGGCATGGCTATACTCAAGGCCTGCCACTAGTGGCCTGCTTCTGATGGCCAGGCCTCACATACTTGTTTCTACAACTCCCCAATACTAGTACAAACTGGGGGTCAAGTGTTTACACATTTACACATGTAGGAGACATTTAAGATTCAAACCATAATGAATAAGAGCTCATTCTGAAAGTCCTGCTCACGTATCTTAAGTCAGGGCTTGCTGTTCATGTTAGGCTGCCCCCCTTTCTATGAATTCTTCATACTGATTCTAATTCCTCAGTTCTCTAGGCCTTCTGTATTCCTCTGTGGTCCCTTAAATTGCTTTCAACCTAACTTTGAAGTATTGTTGCTCATTCTAAATTGCAAGTGTTTTCTCCCCAATCTCAGTTTGATGCAAAGCCTTGTAACCTGCCCCACAGTTTCCTAAGCCTGGCATCTGACCCTGAAGAGTAGCAAACACCTGGATGCTCACCTTTGGGATGATTTCCAGCTTCTTAGAAGCAGACACTGTGTAGCGGGAGCCAATATAAAGAGACTCTACTGGGGGTGGCTTGTTTATTCGAACATATTGGAATTTCATTTCTTCATCATCAATGGCCTAGGGAACATTTCAGAGAGCGATTTAGCTACATTTCTGGGCTACAGCATCTATATTGTCTGAATAAGGTGAGATGATTGATCAGTACATTTGTGTAGGGTGGGGTGGTAACACCTCTTAGGCACCCTTCTGTCTTGTGTCCTTCCACATAGACTTGAATTATTGACTCCTGTCATGTCCATTGTGGGAACAGGGTCCCTGCCAGAGAAGAAGGGAGTTGGTTACATGTTGGGCATAGAACATTCCCATCCTTCTGATAGGTGAAAAGAGGCCATAGAAGGTTGTACAGAGATTGGTAAAGGGGCATTAAAGGCAGTTGGGGGAGACTCTGGTGTGAGGGTGCCAAGCAGAATCATAAATACCAGTGTTCTCTTCATAGGACTGCATTCCCATTGTAAGTGGAGAATCTCTCCAAGGGGCTCGCTAGCTGCATCTCAAGCTTTCTATCAACCCACCCTGGTCCCACTTATGGGATTATCAGTGTCACCTTCCGAATGGTGCAGTCATTGGGAATTAGGTAGAGATGAAGGGTGACTTCCTTCAGATTGAGGTGATAGTAGATCAATGTGATGGAAGTGATGGGGATGAAGTGTCTGACAGCAGGGATCATTCTCAGTAGAATTCCCATTGGGGAGAAGCTTGGGTTTTCTAAGATTGTGCAGTACTGCTCCACTCTGGCAGGAGTTTCTAGGACCATCCCATGTTCTTGAAAGTGGGCCACACTGAACCAGGAGATGTCCACCTGTCCCTCTGTGAAAGAACAGATCCAAAGATGTAGATTTAGTGTTTCCACTAACTCATGCTTGGCTGGAAAAATAGCACCCTAGGATTTAGAATGACTGTGATGGTTTGCATGAGAATAGCATCCATAGCTGGTGGAACTGTTTGGGAAGGAGTAGGAGGTGTGGGCTTGTTGGAAGAGATATGTCACTGGGGGTGGGCTTAGAGGTTTCAAAGCATGTTCTTGTTTCCAGGTTCCTTTCTCTCTCCTTGACAATAAGGATGTAAGCTCTCAGCTACTGCTCCAGTGCCAAGGCTCCCTGCATTCTGCCATGCTCCTTGCTATGATAGTCACAGACTCACCCTCTGAATCTTTAATTCTCAATGAAATATTTCTTCTATAAGTTCCTTGGTCATGATGTCTTTTTCACTTTTACTTATTATTTGATGTTTATGAGAATGATATGACTCCTGCTAATGGAGGCACTACTCTGCCGTCCACCATTGGCCTGTCCTCTCAATACTGAGTTTGCTTCCAACTTGCACCGTGACAAAGACTGTTGCAGTGTATGTTGTTTAGCAGAGAGCTTTTCTATTTCTCTGGGGTGATTGCTTTGGAATCGATAAGCAGCAAAGAATGAGACAATGGACTTGCTACTCCAGGAAGCAGTACAGCTTGGAATTTCAATCAGTGATGCTAGGTAATAGTTTCACAGGGAGCACCACAGCATTAAAATGTGCCCCCTTTGCCTATTTGTGGACTAGAATTCCTGGTTTTCCTGAAGTCAGCTTTAGTCCCAGCACCAGATCCTGGTGCTTACCCATGCTTTGTTCTGTGCCAGTTTTGGCAGAATTTGGGGAGATGCTGTACATGTCCAACTTCCCTTCTTGCTAGGGTAAATTCTAGTCATGACCTTCCCAGGACCTGAGGGGAATATGTGGTACTGAATTTTCATTGTTAATACCAGAAGTTTACTGGGGCATTTAAGACAACTTACCAAGTTCTTTCATTTCTTTTCTCATTTTGGTTTTTTGAGACAGGGACCTACTATGTATTTTTAGAGAGAAGTCATAATTCTCCTGCCTTAGCCTCCCAAATACAGGCATTGCAGGTACATGCCACCACCTGGTCCTGTGTTGTCATTGCTACATGTATTGTTGCTTACTTACTGTATTCCAATGGGGTAATTGTCTGATCTGAGAGTGGGAATAAGAAACAGGAAAGGTGGTGGCCTGCAGGAAAGAAGCTTGCAAGTGTTTGTGGGGAGAGCAGGAGCTCAGTGTGGACCTGCTGGAGGGCCTCAGATACTAGGAAGGCATCATCCGGTAGCAGTGCCCCTGTGTCAGGGTCTGGAGCTCAGGTCTCATGTGTTTGTGAATGTCACTATTGTTTATATTTGTTTTGTGAGTTCTTTTCAACCAAGTCCTGCTTGGTTTCTTCATCTTCATTTTTTCTTCTGGTGGGTTGTCATTAAATATGAGTATCTTTAACCTAGGGGATGCTCAACTTGATTTCTATTAGTTGTTCTTCTATTGGCTGGAGCAGCCCCTGTTTCTGTGTTACATCTCATGACTTCTTCAGCTGTCAGATTGCCCCTCTGCTCATCACCTTCAGACCATGAACAAGCACATCTTCATCTGTTGTGAGCTGGATTCTCCTGGTCTCTATGGTGGGCCTATTGCTGTGCTCCTTGAAGCAGGAGAGGAAGTTGGTCTCAGTAGTCACTGGTAGAACACTTGATTCTTTCTTACTGTTGCTTTTTCCTTTCTTAAGCATAGTCTGGCTGTGTAGTCTAGGCTGCTCTTGAATTCTAAATTGTCCCGCCTTCAGCCTGGAGAGAGCTGGAGTAATGGCTTTCTTCATGAGATCTTTCACTGGGGATCTTATATTTATTAAAATATCTTCTGAAGGAATCTTTGGTGATGACTGAGGTTCGGACACTTTATGAGCCCCCTCTTTCTTAGGGCACCCCTCTTCTTTAGCTCCAGTTCTCAAATGGAATCTAGTGACACCATTTTCTCCCTGCCTGCAGCAGTGTAATGGCTTACAGTGTTGGTAGACCCCGGGTACCAAATGATCCTTCTTAGTTTCCTTATTCTTACTTTGCAACAATCTCTTCACATTGCTCAGTTTATTCTGTTTCCTCCTGAGGAAAACTAAGGAAACTCCTTTAGGTAAAATGGAAATAAATTTATAAGGCTGGGAGACACATGCTTCAAAGAAGATACATCAGACAAGAAGGGATGATAAAACATCTTAGTGCCCACCTTCATAACCTGCTTGGCCTCACTAAGGAAGTCATAGACTTTCCTCATCACCCACCACCCTACACTGTCCTATATGACCTGTCAACTCCACTCAATACCATCATCCTACTCCTTATGGTTCCCCTGGTTACCTTGGAGAGCCACAAAATGAGGGAGGTACACAGCAGTCACAGCTCCCTGCTCAGCCTTGATGTCAAACAGAGGCCCAGCTACCATGTGACTGTGCTGCAAGGGAGTCTTGTCCAGGTGTTGGCTCCAGGAACAGAATCCAATCTCGATGGTCACTGCCCTTGTCACCACAAAGCGGAGTCCTGTGTTGGGACAGTGGTAGGAACCAGGCACAGGGAACTGAACTCTAGAAGAGGGAGAGGCAGACACCAGTGAACACCAGCTCTGCTCCTCTGCTGGGTGCAGACCCAGTGCAGGGCTGGGGACACAGCAGACTTCAGCCAGATGGCTCTGAGTTCTGGTTCCTCTGCTGTCTGTCTGTGGATCCCCAACTAAGTCATTTAACCCTCAAATCTCTTTCCTCATCTGTACACAGGGTAATGACAACACCATCTTACAGACCTGTGGGTACTGAGTGATCTAGAGCAAACCTACAGGTAACACACACATGGAGCAGTTAGCTATGCCTGTGATGATGATGAGGGTGATGTAATAGACTCTCTCTCTCTCTCTCTCTCTCTCTCTGTGTGTGTGTGTGTGTGTGTGTGTGTGTGTGTGTGTGTGTGTGTGTGTGTGTGTGTGTGCATGTTAATGTTAAGTTCTAGGGATCAAAGTAGGACCTTGTACACACTAGAAAAGGGCTCTACCGCTGCAGTACATCTTCAGTTTTCAGTGTCTACATTCTTTTTTTTTTTTTTTTTTTTTTTTTTTTTTTTTTTTTTTTTTTTTTGGTTTTTTCGAGACAGGGTTTCTCTGTGTAGCTTTGCGCCTTTCCTGGATCTCGCGCTGTAGACCAGGCTGGCCTCGAACTCACAGAGATCCGCCTGCCTCTGCCTCCCGAGTGCTGGGATTAAAGGCGTGCGCCACCACCGCCCGGCCAGTGTCTACATTCTTAAAGAATATATTTCCCCCAAATAAGAATCCATCTGCTAATATTAGTGATAAATCCTTGGTCCTGAAAAAGACTTTACCAATATCTTCAGTGATTTTTCTCAAGGCTTCCTGTTTGGTAACTGGTGGGTGGACAGGTGTCAGTTTCTGTGGACGTTGAATGTGACAGTTTCTCCAGCTGAGACAGTGACTGTGACAGTGTTGGAGGAGGGTAACAGGTTATAGAAGACACCATGACTGTGGATATAGTTATTCATTACTCAAGGAACTATGGCCCTTGGAGGATAAAGCTGCTGAATTCATCCTCATGTTCTCAGCTCCTAGTAGGTTCTTGGCACACAGTGGTTGTTAGTGAAGCAGGAGTGCAGAAACTACAAGGATTTAAGGGAAGTCTACGAGACAGGAGGACCCAAATATAATGAGGGGAGGGATGCTGTTTATACCAGCAGAAAAATCATGTTTCAGATAATGAGCCAAGTTGAGCACTGACTTTTTAGATGGAATGAAGGACTCCTGTCAGCTCTGTTGATGTGGTGGTAATGGTGTGCTGGTCATGGAAGATGAGGTCCTGTCTTAACTACGGGGGAGGCATAGTGAAATGTTTATGTGTGAAGTCACCTGATGTCCTGGACTCACAATACTGCGACAGTGATGACAAAGAAGGAATGTGAGTAGTTGAACAAACTTGGAAAAATGTTTGCTAGAGCTGAGTAATTGGACAGGGAAGTTCTTGTGCTTTCCAGTTTTGTAAATGTCTGAAAATTTTTTATTAAACAACTCTCTATTTTTATAACAGCCCAAATGTCATATTCCTGTCCTGGCCTTGCCCCTGCAATAGTGAGGGCAGCAGAAGACACAGTAGAGACCAGGTGAGAAGTGTGGACAGTGTGCTGGGGAAAGTCACGTTTTCCAGGCAGAGCTCACTCACCGGTACAGGTTCCTCTCTTTGTCAACCACCTCTGTAGCCACAGGCCCTGTAGGGCCCCAGAAGTCATTTTCAGTCCCCAGTGGTTCCATGTGCTTGTGTTCTGGAGAGGCAGGAGAAGATGGATGGAAAGTCTTTAGTGGTGCATGTTTTGAGTACCATTCCTCTAGAAGAGGTTAGACACTGGTCACTCTGTGTTGTTCAGACTCATCTCCACAGCTTTCCCCAGAAATGGACAGACCATGGCTGAACTCATTTCCAGGTTCTCCAGTCTAGGTCTTAGCAGGAAGTGTGCCTTCAGTTTTCATCACTCTTCATCAGGCTACCTTCGTGCTTTTCATATATATATATATATATATTTGTTTTATTGCCTTTCCACCATGATTTTTGACCAACCATTCAACCACAATACCTGCTCCCAATCCAGCTGTTGTGTTTTCTTTCTTACTGGTCCTATTAAGTATTGATTTTCCTAGCATGTCTCAAGTGGGTATGTTGAAAAAGAAAAGAATGTAACTCACAATATAGATGAGCAAGTGATAGGGAGGTGAGTCCTAGGCCAAAGCAGCTCAGAATGAGACATAGTGTCCTGGTATAGAGCTGGATACCAGCCACAGACTTGAGAAAGTGGTATCAGCATCCCCCAAGGCAGAGAGAGAAGAAAGCAGTATTCCCTCTGGGTTCTAGGTGTGGAATGTCTTGCAAGGGGTGGTGCTCTTATTGGAGAGTCTATAGTATTCAGACTACCGAGTCTGTAGTGTTCAGTGTCAGAGACAGAGGGATAGAAATGATAACCACTCCCAGGATATCTGTTCTACATAATGTTTTCTGTATATGACAGGAATGTTGCACCAATGAAATTTCAACAATATCTCTGCCTTAACAAGATCTGCACAATGGCAACACTAATTGACATGCTAATGTGGATAGGGGAAATTTGGTAATGTCCCACTCCTAAATGAAGAGTTATAGGCAATTCATAGCTGGTAGAATTAGGGATCAAATCAGTCTTTGCCCCCAGGAAGAGTTTACTAATAGGTTATCCAGTCACAAGCAGTGAACCTGAAACATATATACAACCAATACTAAGTGGACTTATCAGATTATATATATATATATATATATATATATATATATATATGTGTGTGTGTGTGTGTGTGTGTGTGTGTGTGTGTGTGTGTGTGTATGTATACATATGTAAATACACAAATATTTAACAATAATATTTAAGTGCTGGTCATAAATTTTAGAGAGAGTTTGCTGGTGGGACACAGGAGTTTTTTGAGTAGGCTGACTATGGGCTGAGGGCTAGAAGTGATATAAATATAGTACTTGTGTATTAAATTCTAAAAAAATTAATTAAGAAAAAGAAAGAAATGATGGCTTCCTCCTGTAGATGCCCCTTAATCTGCCAATCATGATGCTCTGGGTCTGAAACCATCACATACCTGACTGTAGTCTCTGATGCTTGAATGAGGTCAGGCTATCAACCATTTCTTCTCCATCCGGGTTCTTATTAGGGACCATCTCATGTGGCTTCCTACACACAGATATGTTCTTTCCCTCAGACGTCAGAAGAAACTGGGGAAACCAGGGTGGTGTATACAATATCCCCACATTAAATCTAACTCATCTGAATTCAAACTCAGTCCTGTGCTTCTTCTCTGGGCCAGAACTGTATGAAGGCCCCCATCCTCCGTGGTATTCATGCTTCCTGTATAGAGATCATCTCAAACCCTCCCTTGTTTAATTTGAATGTGTTCCCCAATGTTTACTCATAAGAAAGTCAATCCCCAATGCCACAGTGCTGATAGGATGAAGGATAAGACCCAATAAGATCATGACATCTCTGCTTTCTTGAAGGGGTTAATGTCATCATCACAGGAATAGCTTCTGGTGGCCTGACAGAACTTGTCACAAAAGCCAGCTCAGCCTCTCACTCTCAGCCCTCCCAGTTGTGCAGTCAGATGGAACAGGAAGGTTTTCCCTAGATCTAGGGTCCATGCCTTTGTCCTTCCCTGTATCCAGAACTGCAAGAAATAACCTCATTTCTTCATGTTAAATGCCCAGTGTCAGACATTGTGTTATAGCTGCACAAAACAGACTAGTAATCTTTCACCCTGAATGCCAATCACCTAGACAGTACCCCCCAAATCTCTCTCCTTTCTGTTCTCTACTCTCTCCTTCCACACACTCCATTCTTGTCCAAGGATGGAGTGAGCATTGTTCTGAATCACTGCAGCATCCTCTGGCAGGCATCTCTGCTTCTGATCTGGTCCCTTCTTGCACATATTCTACATAGTAGACGACCATAAAAAGTGGGTGGCGATGCCCCTTCATGGCTTAGGCACTGGAATGCCTCTCATTTCTTCTGGGGAAAACATATGATTTTTAGCATGGTTCATAGTTCTTGCTGTGGCCCCTGTCCCTCTCCAGGCCCTCCTATGTCACCCTTTCCTGCTCACTGACCTCTAGACCAGTGACTCTCAAATCACTGTGTTAAAATGTCACCTGGACAGCCTGCTAAATCAGAAAGCTCACTGAAGAAAGCTGCCCCACCTGAGATTCTAAGTCATCAGGGATGGAGTAGGGCCTGAGAACCTGCATTTCTGTGGAGCTCCCAGATAATGGTGAGGCAGAGCAGATGGTCTCGCAGACGGTTTCCTGTTCCCCAATCAAGCTCCTCCCTCTGCTTCCTTATCCTCTACCTGTGCCTAGAATTTTCTTCTTGGATCAACCCCACATTTCTCATCTTTTAGAAAACACCTTATCTCACTTTAGCTTAGGATGAGGTCAGGCAGACCAACACTGCACTCATAGGTTTTCAGGTATAGTTCCATGGACTATGGGGAAACAAGTGTCCCCTCCCTGCTGGACTGAGATAATGAATGTTGGACCGTATCTGCCTTGTTCACCTATGTGCCCTCAGATCCCCAAACAGTGTATAAAGTACAGTGGGTCTTGCACAAATGTTTGTTCAATGAATGGATGACTGTCTTATGTCTATAGAACTCTCCCTTTCGCCTGTTGCATGGCAGCTAGGAACTTGAGGAAAGGTGGAATTCATGACCATGAGCTGAAATAACTAAACTGGGAGAAACATCCAGCTTCAGCACAGGCTCTGGGGGTATAAAGTGACTCTTCTGCCCTGAGGCTTTATATACCACAGTACAGTGTGTGTGTGTGTGTGTGTGTGTGTGTGTGTGTGTGTGTGTGTGTGTGTGTGTGTGTGTGTGTGTATGTGTGTCGGTGTGTGTTGTGCATATACTCCTGTGGTATGTGTGTGTAGTGGCGGTATTGGGGTTGGGACAAGAGTGGTTTTTGTTCTCTAAGAGATTGTATCTTTTTAAAATGTGGTTTCTGCTTTTACTGTTCAGTGGCTTGAGTTTAACGATGGCTATCATTGTCATACGTGCTGTGCCCAGAGAGCTTACCACTAACTCACCTTTCATATACTCTTTTTTTTTCTGATGGAAGAACTTATGTAGCCATGTTATATGATTATATTTTTGCTAAATAAAAATAATGCAACTTCCTAACAAAACTTCCTCACTTTGGTTGCTGTAGTTTCCTGGTTTCTTCCTGGATCTGTCTTTCCCATCACCTCAGGACCCCTTTCCTACCTCTCAGCTTTGGAGCAGCCACATACAGCCTAGGTTGACCCCTTACCATGTGCTGAAGATGAGCATCTGTGGATTCTCTGTCACCAGAGTCCTGAGCTCCATCATCACCTCATCACTGAGAGGGTCCTGGTCCAGCCTGGAAGCACAAGAGGAGGCTGTTTCTTCTGGGATCCACCACAGGATTATGAGGCCTCAGGGTCCAGGATCCTGGACTTTGTTGTCTGTAGATGGAGCTAGTGAGGAGCCTTATTAAGGCTTATTCCTCATTCAAAACCAGGACAAAGGATGGAGAGCAGCAGGCTGAGAGGAGGGAGGTGTGTCCATGACACATTCTCAGTGAGGCTTGGTCAGTGTGCAGAGAGAATACAAGGATGAGGACCTTTGGATCTTTACAACGCTGAAATGAGGGGGTGGCCCTTTATACCTCTCCCCAACAGGTCAGTCATTAGAAACAGACTGTTCCAGGAAGGAAACATGTCCATAGATGAGGGTATTCCTATTGCTAAAGGGCAGCATGCAACATGGTAGCTATCAACATTCCCAGTGGCTGGAGGTCATGGCCATATCCCCATAGGAATTCTGGACAGAGGACCACCATAAGCTCTTGTAGTGAAACCCCATGGCCCTCCAGGGCTCCAGCCACTTTCTGTTCTAGAGCTTTCCCCAACTCTGCCTTTGCCGGGGCTACTGTCTCCAGGTTGGCCCAACCAAGGTCTATTTCTCTATCAGGCCTAGAAGAAGCCCTTCTGAGCAATTCAATAAAGCAGGCCCTCTCAGAGCATTACATTCTTACAATGCTGTAGAGTCAACAGCATTTAACAGAGCTTGTCAATAACAAATCACAGGCTCACAGGGGATCTATGACTCTCTCTTTCCACACAGCTTTAGGAGGACAGAGCCATGCGTGTTTGTGATTGTATCCCTAGGGTCTGGACCAGTGCTTGGTACACAGGGGTCCTGATATGAATGCATGCATGGATGGATTCATGAATGAATAAATGATTGAAGTGCTGTCTTGGAGTAAGGCAAACCTGAGAGTCTGTTAGGATAATAGCCTTACTAATACATATGATTGCACTGTGCCCAGCTACCTATCTGGCATTATCTTTGTATTTACGTATGTACATTCTATGTCATTACAATTCAGGAGGTGGGTACGACATTCCATTTGACAGATGGGGAAAATGAGTTTTAGAGAAGAAAGAAACTTGCTCAAGTCACAGGTTATTGGTGGCACAGCTGGTCAGGAGCCAGGCTGACTGTGCATTATCTGTCCCTTTTCTTTTCTTTGTCTTGTCATCTAGTAACACATCTGTGACCCTTCCCTTGCCTCCTGCCCAGAGGGAATCTCGGGTTATTACTTACCGCAGGATTCTGAGTTTGCAGGCAGGACTCCTGAGCCCCTCACACAGCAGCCTCACACCATGGTCTCCCAGGTCATTCAGCTGCAGGTCTAGCTCAGCCAGGCTTGAGCCTGCCCTGAGCACTGAAGCCAGGGCCAGGCAGTAGTTGGATGTGAGACCACAGTTGACAAGCCTGCATGGAAGATGCTTACCATCAGCTTCTCCAGGGCTCACTGCTCTTGGGAACCAGGTTCAGTCTCCCTTTGTGAGTCTTAGTTTACTGAGTTAGCAATGCTTAGCTCTCTGGAGTGCCCTCTCTATTCTCAGTGGATAATTCCATGCTTCCCACTACTGAGCTGCAGGAGCAGTGGACCACTGCTCTGCTGTGACTGGCCATGGCGGAGCTCCATGAAGCCCAGGACAGCTCCCTGGTATATTTCAAGAGCCATCTGAAGTGAAATTCACAAGCCATAGAATAGGGCATGATTTCACTTGTTATGTGAAATCTTAATAAAGATGGAGTCCATAGAAACAGAGTAGAAGGATGGTTACAAGGGCAGAGAGCAGGAGGGAATGGGAGATGCCATTCCCTTGGCCTGGAGCTTTCTCCCCTCCTGCTTCATTTAGCCTCTTCCTCTGTGTTCTCCAGCTCTCCTAGCCCCTTTCTCAGGAAGTTTGCTCCAGTGAAGCTTTCATGAGCCTGGTGCTATCATTAGCTAGTGTGGCTCCTTGTTGAAGGTCAGTTTTTCATGATCACTAACAGAATCCCATTTTTTTTTTTGGTTATATCAAGTCTGGAATCTGTCACTAGTACAGTCAAGAGTTTGGTGAACATCTGATAAATACTAAACCTTACCCTAGATGCTGCTTTTGCTTGTGCTTTCCTGCCATCCATTCCAGCTTCAGGGAATAACCCAGGCCAGACTCACCACAATGTCCTAAGGCGACATCCAGGGCATCCCAGGGTCCTACAAAGACTTTGTACTGCGGAGTAACTCAGTGGATTTCCACTTAGATCTAGCTCCTTCAGGTTTCCTGTGAACTCAAGAGTGGAGAAGAGAATCTGCCAACTGGCATTAGTGATTGGGGTCCACCGGAACCTGTGGGAGAGAGAGCAAGAGCGAGAGCGAGAGGGGGGGGGGTTATGAGGGATGTGAATTGCATGTGCATGGTCTGGGGTACACAGCCTCACACAGCAGATTAGGTTTCTGTTACGCTGAGTACCAGGTCTCAATATGCTGTTTCCAGGATTTACTGGCTTCTAGATGCTCCTTTGCTCCACCATCTGGATCCTCTCCTCTGGGTGGCTCCTCATCTACATCCTTATCATAGCATGCTGTGTGTTTATTTTGTGTGTCTGTTTCTGACTAGTCTAGGTGTCCCACAGGGTATGAACAGGTGGCTGGCATCTTTTCTTTTTAATCTCAGTGCCCTGCACAGGCCCTGGTACAATGGAGGACCTTGGTAATTCAGACAGCCTTCCTCCTTTTGATGTTAATAAACTGCTTTCCTTTAGAGCAGAATTCTAGAGTCTCATAAAGGAAAACTGGAAAGGGGAGGTGGGAAGAGAGCTCAGGAGAGGTGGTTGAGAGCGAATCTATGATGAGATGTTTAGCATGGTCAGTGAACATTACATTTGTGTTGGTTCACACATCCTCATATCTTTCCAAGAGAAGGGGTAGAGGAAATATAGATAGATGGATGATAGACAGACAGACAGACAGACAGATATAGAGACAGGGAAAGACAGAGACGCATGGAGAGAGACAGAGTGTGATAGACTGAGAGAGAAATTGACATACAGAGAGAGACATATGGGGAGAGATAGAGATATATACACAGAGAGACAGGCAGAGAGAGAGAGAGAGAGAGAGAGAGAGAGAGAGAGAGAGAGAGAGAGAGAGAGAGAGAGAGAGAATGCCACCATGGGTGGTAAGGCATTCCTTTAATGCCAGAAACCAAGCATACAAAGGCAGGAGAATGTGAATTTTTAAACCAGCTTAAGCTACAAACCACAAGGGGCTGGCAGTTGCTATGTGTCTGGTGTGTGCAACATATGATCCCTAACACTGTAAACAAAACAACATAATAAACTCAAAATAAAATGACAAGTGTGAAAACACAGATTAGAGATGGCCAACTTCGGCTGAAACAAAAGTATAGAATGTTTTCTTTTAGTTTTACAAGACCAAAGAATGTTAAGTAAACCAAATTCTAAACTTTCAATGATAGTGTTTTTAAAAAGCTTTATTTGTTTTTTACTTTATGTATATGTGGTAGTTTGAATGTAATTGTCCCCCAGAATCTCATAAGGAGTGGCACTATTAGGAAGTGTCATTTTATTGAAGTGAGTGAGGCCTAGTTGGAGGACGTGTGCCACTCTCAGGCTTTAAGGTCTCCTTTGCTCAGGATACCACTGAGAGTGCCAGTCGATTTCCCATGGCCTGCATATCAAGATGTAGCCAGCACCATGTCTGCCTTCATACTGCCATGCTCCCCACCATGAAGATAATGTACTGAACTTCTGAAACTGTGAGCAAGCCATCTCAATTATATATTTTTCTTATAAGAATTGCCATGGTCGTGGTGTTTCTTCACAGCAATAAAGTCCTAACTAACACAGGGTATGTTTGTATGCCTGCTTGTCTATGCTATGCATGCAGAAACCAGCTGAGGCTTGAAGCAGGGCATTGGATCCTCTCAGACTATAAATAAAGGTGGTTGTGAGCAAGGTGGTTGTCAGCCATCTGATGTGGTGCTGGGAATGAACCCACATCCCCTGAAAGAGCATCAGGTTCTTTTAACAGTGGAAACACTCTCTCAGCCCACAAAGGATGGTAATGTTGATGCATGTTTACTATTTACACTGATTGAAAGTGGCACTTCAGAATGTGCTATTCAAAAAACAAGAGGCACCACCATGAGCCACACACACACAGGTGTTGCTCCCTGTGGTATTTTGAAAGAAAATGACCCCAAAAGGGAGTAGCAATTTTAGGAGGAGTGGGCTTATTAAAGTAGGTGTGGTCTTACTAGAGGAAGCATGTCACTGTGGAGGCAGGCTTTGAGGTCTCATATATGCTCAAGCCATGCCCAGTGACACAGTTCTTCCAGTTGCCTGCATATCAACATGTAGCCATGTCCTGCCATGATGATAATGGACTGAATTTCTGAACTGTAAGTGAGCCACCACAATCAAATGTTTTCTCAAGAAGAGTTGCAGTGGTCATGATGTCTCTACAGCAATAGAAATCCTAAGACACTCACCTTGCCATTGTATATTCCCTGACTTTGGCCAGCCTGTACCCCTGTTTTTCTAGTGTGCAATGTGCTCCTTGATGATCTCCCTGCCTAGTCTGACTTTTCCCTTCAACTTTTCTTTCTCACTAGCAGCAGAAGCCTCTCTCTTTCCCCTGGGGTTGTCCCCAGCTCCTAATGCCACTGTCCTTTGCAAGCAGGCTGGTGTTCCTTGTTTCTCTTGCTGTAACTGGTCTCTGTCTCTGTAAACACTGAGAATTCTTCTAAAGCTCCACAGCAGACCACTTCTGCTTGCAGCATCTGTATCAAGGCCCTTCAAGGCTCACTTGTTTACAATCATAGACTGGCCAAGAGCAGGAAAATGATCCAATTCACTAAGGTATTCTCCCTAGGCAATATCATAAGGCTATTCAGAATGGTATTGTACTAGACCTTTAGTAAGGAGAGAAGACAGCCTTAATTCATTAAGAAAATAAATGTGAATGTAAGATAACAGAGATTTTTGTCTCAATAATCTCACAGAAAAATATGTACAGAAAAGATTAAACTGAATGTCACAATTTTTTTCTTTAATGCTATCGATCAAACCTAGGGTTTTGGGCTATTAGGTGTGGTGTTTTGAATGAGATGTCACCCAGTCTTGGGCATTTGAAAGCTTGGTCCTCAATTGGTGGTACTCTTTGGGGAGGCTTAGGAGGTGTGGCTTTGTGGGAGGAAATATGCCACTGGGGGCAGAATTAAGATGTCAAAGCCTTCTGCCATTCCTAGTACCCTCTTTTTGCTTCCTGCTTGCGGTTTAGGAATGAGCTCTCAGCTGCTGCTCCAGTCACATCCTTTCCCTCTGTCATGGTGGACCCTGATCCCTCTAGAACCATAAAGTCCAAATAAACTCTTCTATAAGTTGTTTTAGCCATGGTGTTTTTTTCACAGCAACAGAAAATTAACCAATACACTAGGCAATCTTGCTACCAAATGAGTAACATCCCAAGTCAGGGATATTTTGAGACAGCATCACACTATGTAGCCCAGGTTAGACTGGGACTTCTGGCCTTTTTGTGTCAGCTTTCTGAGTTTGGAATGACAGGAGTGCGCTATCAAGCTCAGCGACCCCAATTCTTAATGCTGTGCTCTCTGAGATATGGAATTCTGAAGGACATTAATTTTTGTTCTTTTTATAATTGATAAATTCTCACTATTTTACAGCAAACATGTTTTTATTAGTCCACCTATTAATATAAAATGAGAGCCGGGCGGTGGTGGCGCACGCCTTTAATCCCAGCACTCGGGAGGCAGAGCCAGGCGGATCTCTGTGAGTTCGAGGCCAGCCTGGGCTACCAAGTGAGTTCCAGGACAGGCGCAAAGCTACACAGAGAAACCCTGTCTCAAAAAACCAAAAAAAAAAAAAAAATATAAAATGAGAGTCATTGAGACAACTTCCTATATGTCTGTAACACAGTTTAATTACATTTGTTCTCTTTGAATCATTTTCCCTCCTCTCCTCATCTTCTTTCTGTTCTCTAACCTTTGTTCCACTAATTTCAAGTTATTTACTTTTCACATGGGCTCTTGCTATGTTGTTTAGATTGATGTCCAAGTCCTCAACTTAAGATAACTGGTCTGTTTCTGGTTACTGCAAGAGTCACGCCCTATGTAATTAGAATAGTTGGCTGTCTTCTCTCACAGGTTAGAAATCCTTAGGCAGCAACTTTATTTCTCTCTTGTTATTAATTGGTAGGGCCTGGTATAAAAATCAGTGCTTAACAAATCATCTAGATAGCATAGACACACATACTGAGTTACCACTTCTGAACAGTGGCAGGTCACCCTGGAAAGGGAGTTCTACCTTGCTGCTGGGATTGGTGGGAAATTTGGAAGTCTTCAGGCTGAGTGCCAGGCCCATGTTGCTTTCAATGACATATACAAGGAAGTCATTTGGGCAGAGAAAATATAGGGACTCTAACACATTGCCTTCTGAGGTGATGGTGGGAAGACCTTAGAGGTAAGGTCACTGTTGTGAGGATAGGGGATGATGTCTGTAGGAGCTGAATAGCAGTCCCTCAGAGAGAAAGCATGGTAAGAGAGAGGACTAGTAACTGTGGGCCATTTTAACATTGTGGAAGATGAAGAAGATTTGAATCAAAGATGATGGAAGTCCTCATTGAGGTGTAGGGAGAGATAGAAGCTCATAGACCCATTGCATAGTCAGACACACAGAGGCAAATAGAGAAAGGTGGTCAGATTCAGCAGTTAGATGTCACCGTGACCTGTATCCTACTACACTAGATTCAGCTAAGAGTGCTGCTGGTGCTCAGAACATGTGTGCTCATGGGATCCACAGGGAAGCTGGAGGGAGGGCTCTATCTAGATACTCACAGAAGCATCCTGGGGGCCATCGGCATTTGTCTCTGCTGTCCACTCCCATTCAGCTGAAGCCTTTTCACATGGTTGCAGAACTTAATGCAGAAAGTGACCACCATGAGCTCCACGTCTGTCTGGACCAAAAGGTACTTCATGTTTGTCAGGAAAACTGGGTGTTCCATATCCACTGGGGAGTGTACCCTTGTTCCTTGATAATTGTGCATAACAACTGTCAGGAAATGTTCATCCTGAATCTCATACAGACAATGGAATAAACCCAGAGAATATGGTTGATGGCATTGGATTTCCTCTAGGATATACTGTTGCAGGTACCACTTTGTCTCCCAAGGCAACCAGCAGGCAAAGATCTTCTTCATCTCTCTCATTCCCTTTTCACTTAAAAGACCAAATAGGAAGCGCACAAAGGGTGCCTCAAACAGATTTCGCCTTCCATAGTCTTCCTTCAGTAATTTCACAATTCTGTAGACATACATATAACTACGACTCTGCACATTACTCTCCAAGATGCAGTACATTGCTGCAAAGAACTCCTGGAGATACAAGTGGGCAAAGCTGTAACTCATAGAGCTGGGCTGCTTTTGAAGGACACCCATCTTCACGAAATGGGCAGCGACATACTCAGACAACCCTTGCATGTAGAGATCGAATTCACTAAACAGTGTCCTTCTTCTCCAGATCCCCTCTGCAGCTAGTGAGCAGAGCCTTCGGAGCTGGGTCCCCCAGACATGACCTGGATGAATTTGGGAAAGGTATTTCAGGCAGAGGTCTGTGGTGGTCTGTGAGGTCAGTGAGAGGTTTCCTCTCTGTTGCATCTGCTGCTTCAGGCAAGTGCAGACCAGCCAGGACACCCAGGGTACCACACACAGTGTCGAGAGCACTGGGTTTGATTTAACCAAGCTAAAAGCTTCAATTGCTTCTCTTTTCTCTGTGAAATATTTGTAGATATATTTCTTCCGTCCAGACTTGGAGAAGCCCAGGACTTCCACCCAACGTGGCTGCCTCAAGAAAGGGATGAACTTCTGCAGAGCTATGGTCCGAGCTGTGAGCAGCAAGGAAGCCCCAGGCAGGATGGATTTCCCCAGCAAACTGCCCAGCAGTGTGTGCACAGGCTGTGGATGGCTCCAGTGCACACAGAACTTGGGATTTTTCTCTCCCAAGACCCATGCTGGCTCATCTATGCCATCCAAGATGAAGAGCAGCTTCTCCGGCTGAGACAGGATCTTCTTGATGGGAGTTGCAGGCACAGTCTGGTCTTTTGCTATGAGCTCAGCCAGACTCAGCTGCTTGTACTGGGCCAGCTCTCTGCAGCTGAAGTAGAAGACATGCTGGAAGCGATTCCTGTAGAGCTTGCCTTCCTCCCATGCTCTCCTCACCTGCCTGGCCAGCGTTGACTTCCCAATCCCAGCAGCCCCCTCTAATATGACTAGTTGAGGCTCTTCCTGGGTATCCGGGTTTGGCTTAAATAAGTCTTGGATCTCAATCAGAAGTCCTCTCTGCTCTCTTCTACATTGATGCCAGCTTTTTCTGGCCAAGGTCTCCCAGCCTCTTGGAAAAGATTTTTGTAGAAGTAATAGCTGTGTAAAATTTTGGAGCAAATCCTTTGTTTTCCAGGACTCTGTGTGGTAAAGATTCTCTCTCTCTTCATTCTGATGTATTTCTGAAATGAATCACAAATTAGGAAAGAATGATGGAGCATAAGTGTACATAGTAAGGTTGTTTGTTCTTTCTTTCATTCTTTCCTTCCTTTCTTCCTTCCATTCTTAACAACTGGATGAATTTAGGCATCTGTCTAAGCTGTACAACCAACTGGCTGTGGGCGCTGGGATATTCTGAGTGGTACAGTGCAAAGATTGTGAGCTTTCAACTAGAAGAATTTAGTCCAAGTCTTCACTTGACTGATAATTAATAATAATAATAATAATAATAATAATAATGCTATATGATGTTTATTCACTCTTCAGATATTTATTATGTTTTACTCCCTGCTAGACCCACTCTTGGGTATGAGAATAAAGGGTGAGCTCACAGACACAACTATCCTCATTCAGTCAATGGGATGATGCAGTAGTTCCACTGAGCTTTGACTTTCTTGTCTGTAATTTAGGGGCTGTGGTTTTTCCCTGTAGGAGGCCATGGAGTACTGGGGAGATTATAGACAATGGAGCCAATGTCTGCTCCTGACAGATCACATTGGCTCCCACCATTGCAGTCCTAACTATATCATTTGTAAGTCCTGAGATTGTGGGTCTGAAGGGATGGTTTTGAGATGCCTTACAGTTTATGTTTCAAGGAATGGAATTTGTCCCCTGTCCCCAGGACTGGAAACCCCAGGCATGTTTTGTACTGCCTTCTAGATTTTGGTAACAACAATCCTTGATTATGACTACTGTGTGGATGTCTTTAGTCCTGACTGAAAATCATGTTGAAAGCAATATTGAAATTCAGTTGCCAGTGTAAAAGTATGGGGGCAAGGGTCTATTGTGAGTGTTTGGAGTCATGGGAGAAGGCCCCTTAATAATTGACCAATATTTTTCTTCTAGAATTGGGCAAGCTGTTGTGGGAAGGGGTTCCCTATCTCTCCTGCAGTCACCTGCTTGCCTGTATACTTTTTTTCTTAAGCAAAGAAGTCATAGTCTCTACTCTTGGAGTTCTAGACTCTAGAAGTATAGTTAAATATACAAGTTCTAAAAACAAATAAACAAAAAACCAACCAACCAACCAACCAACCAACCAACCAACCAACCAACCAGCCAACCAAACAAACAAACACTGAATACTGCAGTGTAGTCCTGTAACTCATCACTCAGAAGACTGAAGGCAGGAAAATCAGGAGTCCAGGGACTGCTTTTCCATATGGTGAGTTTGGAAATATCCTGGCCTACAATCAGTCAGTCAGTCAATCAATCAATCAATCAATCATACAAACAAACAACAAAACAACAAAAGTTACCCAGTCTCTGTTTTCTGTCCTGACTATGGAAAACAAACTAATACACTTGCTCTTGATATAACCTGCTCCATCATTCTTACAGCACACTTTGCTGACTTCTTCCCTCCTGCCCTACTCCCCCTTCCTCCAACCAGTGCATCTGAGGAGTCTTCTCTCCAGTTTGGACCTGAACACAAATCTCCTCTCAACATCTTCTTTGGAAGGAACTCAAGACAGGCAGGAGGATGCCCCATGGACCAGAATTCAAGTTCATGCCTCAGCACCTCAGGTTACCTAAAGTACAAGGCAACTGCTTGTACTGTCTTGGTCAAGGTGCTGAAGAAAATTTGGTGAGAGCACAGAGTGTAGCATCAGTTCACACAATTAGCCCTTGGCTTCAGGGGCCAACTTGCCTCTGAAATCAGGATATATAGATCTGCTTTCACTGTCTTCTGTAGGACAACATCTAACATCTCCTGAGTGTAGTAGGTTGATCACTCATGAATGTGTCCAAGGTCTGCCTGGCTCAGGCCATGTTTGCTTTTAAGGTGCCAAGGGAGAGCTCAGCTCTTCCTAGGCTGTGCTCTCCAAGACCTCTCATCTGGGATGTATCTGTTACTATGCACACATCTAAGTCCTTTTCGGTTTTGTCACACTTAAAAGCATCTGGGGTAGCAAGTTAATGAGTTTGACAAAAAAAGCATGTAGACTAGAATTTGGATCCCAAGATCCCCTGTACATGCTGCATTTGCATTGGTCCCTTGTTATTCCAGGCTCAGAAAGCTAAGTCAAGGGATCCACAGAGCAAGGTAGCTAGCTAGACTTGCTCCACTGACAAGCTCTGGGAATGAATGAGAACCTCTGCCTCAAGGAATAATGGAAGAGCAACTGAAGAAGAATCTAGATATTAATTTAGGGTACTCACAAGCACACACAGTGTGAACTCCTATATATGTGTGACCCAACACATGCAAAGATGCATACACACATGTACACATACCACACATATGCACATGAACAGAAGAAAAGGCCAATGAAAAATCCACAGAAAATGGATGGAAATGAAAAATATCCTACTTAGTGAAGTAACCATGCCCAGAGAGACAAATGTCACATTTCTCTGTGTATGTGGATCATATAACAAATGGTCATATGTTATGTATATGATCCATATATTTAGATTTGTATGTTTAATTTGCTTTTAAAGGTTTTTAATTTAAAACTTGAGAATTTCCTAGTCCATACCATATTTACATCATTTCCATCTTTCTTAGTCTTTTCCCCTCCAACTCCTCCTGTGTCACCTCCTTCCCTTCCAAATTTATCTTTTATTCTTTAGTGATTGTTACATCCACACATAATCCATCCATCCATCCATGCATACATACATATATACATACATACATACATACATTCATACATACATGCATGCACACAGTGTGTTGAGTCTATGTAGTGTTGCTGTTATATATTTAATGTTGACCACTTGGGATTGGATAACCTATGAGGGACTCATCTCTGGAGAATTCTGATTCTCCCTCTCTCAGCAGCTATTAATTGCCTGTAGCTTTTCATCTAGAGGTGGGACCATGTGAGACTTATTTGGAGACTCTCTAGAGATAAGGAAATTATAATAAGCCCAATAGAGGGGTAGGGTAACAAACCTTAAGGGGTGGAGACAGAGTAGAACCATTTTGATGTGAAAATGTTTAAGTGAGGTTTATGTGGCTCAAGGTTGAAGTGAGGATAGGGATTGTGTGATAGGGGAGAGGAGTGGGTGAGATGATAAACCAAAACTAACAGTGTATGAAACATCCTATGGACACACACCACTTTGTAAGCTAATCATAACAAATAAATATAGACTATTGTGTAATGAGTGCATGGTGCTTTCCTCAGAAGACATGAATTATTAAAGAGAAATCCCAGTGGCAAGCATGGAGTACCTTCCTAGGCATTACTGGTCAGGGAGGATTCAGAGACTCCAAAAGCAGCAAAGCCTGTTGCTGTTGCTCTTGGTGATCTACCAGAACTACAGTTAAGACCCTATTGCTGAAGACACAACATTTGTTACAGGACTTAGAGACTCCAAGTTAGAACAGATATGAAACTTCTTTCATGCTGGGTAACTGTCATAATACTAGGAGGTGCTATGAGGACACTGGGGGAGACAGTCATCAATGATATTATCTGACGGTGACCCTGGATGCTGCAAAACTGACCTGATAGGTGAGACATGCCTAGAGATGCAATAATGACATGGAGATTATAGGGTAGCCATTTCCCTCCTGATGAGATTTGAAGAATTTCACATTAGATTTGAATTTCACAGGAGGGAATTCACACCTGTAAACACAGTCTACTGCTTATGGCTCAGGAGGTTATGGCCCTGAGGGAAAGACTTATTGCTATTTTGAAAAATGGGTGTATTGTTAAACTGCCTTCTGAATACTTATGGTTATACCCATTGAATAATGTTTCTCTCAACATTGTCCAGAGAAGCTTCTCTCTGTTGTGGGCAGCAGTTAATGTAGAGATCCATAGTCAAAATGCTAAGTGAATATTGTGTGCTTGGCCCTAAGTGGAATGTCTAAGTGGGTCACCAAGGATCTGGGAACAGTGCAAAAGTAGTGACAGAAAGAATGAAAGAGCTGGAGGACAGGAAAGAGTGTGTCCTGTGAAATGTGTTCTTCTGGATGTTACATGGCTGTTGTGCTCATGAACTCACTACAGCTATAGGTGCTTGTGCATGACTTGCACAAGGCCGGCCAAACAAAGTTATTATATCAGGCAGCACTAATTGGATTGAGAGGTTAAAAACAACAACAACAAAACCCAAGCAAATCAACAATGACAACAACAAAATGAAAAAACAGAGAGGACATGAAAATGGGAGCCAGTGGTTGAGAGGGTATTCTGGGGAAGAGAGTAGAAGGGATTTGAGAGTGAATATGATCAAGGTACAGTGCAAAAAGATATGAACTTTTCAAACAAATAAATAAAAGATATTCTAGACATGTGTTCTCAGACACAGCACCCCTCCCTCTGCTCACTCTATAGCTGCTTCTCAGGGATGCTGATCTCCTTCTAGACACTCTCCCTCCCCATGGGACCCACCTGATCACTAGGAACATCTTAACTTATCCTGGTGGTGTGAAGACTTAGATATTCTACATGTACTCTCTAGAGCATCCCCCACTCAACCCTGATAGGTCTGCAATTGCTTCTGATGGATCATGAACTCCTCTTGGCTCTTCTCCCTTTAGTTAGGACTCACTAGATCACATATCCTTCTCCATCAGGAACTGCTGTGGGATGGTCTGTATGTCAAATTGCTCTGATTGGTCAATAAATAAAACACTGATTGGCCAGTGGCTAGGCAGGAAGTATAGGCGGGACAAGGAGAGAGGAGAATTCTGGGAAATGGAAGGCTGAATGGGAGAGACACTGCCAGCCCCTGCCATAGCAAGCAGCATGTGAAGATGCCAGTAAGCCACGAGCCACATGGCAAGGTATAGATTTATAGAAATGGGTTAATTTAAGATATAAGAACAGTTAGCAAGAAGCCTGCCATGGCCATAACAGTTTGTAAGCAATATAAGTCTCTGTGTTTACTTGGTTGGGTCTGAGTGGCTGTGGGACTGGCGGGTGACAAAGATTTGTCCTGACTGTGGGCCAGGCAGGAAAACTCTAGCTACACATGACACAGTCTCAGTGGGGCCCCACAC